AGGCAATCCATCTCAACGGACCCCAGAGTTTAAAAACCAGGTGGGAAAACACACCGACGCTTCATCGGAGGCTGCACTGAGGATGTTACCCAGCATGGTAACGAAACTTCTGCGAAACAAGAAACCAGCTCGGCAAGCCAACCAACCTCAATAATGACTAAGACTATCAGGAGCCTCAGGCATGACAGGTTTGATCCCATCAGAATCTTGATCTAGACTCCTCATTCTACACTGAAGGCTGTATGACATCGTCAGATTGAATGGAGCTCAATGTAGCTTCCAAATGAACCTATTCAGAACTTTATGCAACATCTCCCTGCAAGATTCTTTTCCCACAGATAATGTTTATACATTCAGGTACATAACTGCTTTTACATTTCCACTAAATCAATCTGCCACAAGTCTTTGACTTCACAAACTCAGGCAGCCTGGAGGTTTCACAATACTTCCAGAATGTGTTTATTAATAGCATGCTTCGTGGAGTGCCAGGCTTCTAGGAATTCTCGTGCCTGTCTCTGCCTAGCCTGCCCCAGGATTTTGGTGTTGTCCCAGTCGAAATGGTGATTCTCCTTGCAAACTCAGGCATCTGTGGGACTTTTAATTTCATGACAATCCATCATACAAAACAGCAGCTCTATTTAAAAAGGACCTTTCTTCCTTCCAGTGTCCTGAATTTTTAGACCAAGCAATTTCTTCTTTATGACAAGTTCTGAATCTGTAGGCATTGGTCTAGGTTCCATGGAGTGGCATACAGCTCATCTCCACTTTTTTTTATTCTCAGTCTGCCGATACATCTGTGTTGAAGTGTGTAAGTTTTTTACCTCAGCTTTATGAGTAGGCTGAATGTCTTCATTCAACTTTTTTGGATGTCTTCCCGGAGGACCAGACATTTTCACATCCTCAGTTGTGATACTAGAGGATTGCTACTTACATATCATTATCTCTATCACTGGCACTGACAACTCCTCTCTGGAAGACAAAAGTTTGAAATATTGCTCTTGAGCTTGTGTTGACTCATCATCTGGCATCAAAGTTAAATCTGCCATATCAGTTTGTTCAATGCACTAATTTGCTATCTGAATGACTACAATTAAATATTCCTCAGAGAGGTAAAGTGGATTGTACTCAATCTTGTTTTTTATATGTACTTCTCTGGCAAATTTTGCTGATTTTTGTTATCTGAAAGTCCTTCTGTGATGATAGGAATTGAAAACATTTCCACCAGTCATGTATTGTCACACATCTCCTTCCTGTTGAAAGTTTGGAACAATTTTCTTATACCAACATTGATAAAGTCAATACATTCCTCCTCTTTGGGGTCAATCGCAAGTCTAGGAATCCCAATGAAAGCTTCTACTGTTTGCCATTTGTTTGACTAGTCAACAGGAGTTTATTACCAGACAGTTGCTCCCTTAGAACTAGTTGAACTTCCTCTGCTACTTTAAGAATGTTGAGGTTAAGACATATTTCAAAATACTGGAAATCCGCAATAGCAGCAGAAAATACAAGAAGTACTTAATAGCAGAGGCAATATCTGTGGAGAGTTAACATTTATGATTTGTGACTGATTGTCTAATCACCAACCTTGAAGAAATTTTCACTCCACAGATATTTCTAGCTTTTTTTTGGTTTTTATCTCTGTCTCTATATCAATCTTTCCTTTTTTAAGACTGATATGGAGGTGCCAGTGTTGAACTGGGTTGGACAAGGTCAAAAATCGCACAAAGCCAAGTTATAGTCCAACAGGCTTATTTGAAAACACAAGGTTTCGGAGCGTTGCTCCTTTCTCAGGTGTAGTGAGGGAGGAGGTATCAAGACATAGAATTTATAAGTACAAGATCGAAGGATCATACAATTGATGTGAATGTATTGAATAAGCTGAAAGTCCTCACAGGCAAGGCAATGGCCTAGTGATATTATCACTGGACTGTTAATCCAGAGACCTGGTTAAACATTCTGGGGTCCTGGGTTCAAATCCTGCCACAGCAGAGAGTGGACTTTGAATTCAATAAAAATATCTGGAATAAGAATCTAATAACGACCATGAGTCCATTGCTGATTGTCAGGAAAAACCCCTCTGGTTCACTAACATCCCTTTAGGGAAGGAAACTGCCATCCTTGTCTGGTCTACATGTGAATCCAGACCCACAGCAATGTGGTTGACTCTTAAACAGCCCACTGGGCTATTAGGGATGGGCAATAAATGCTGCCCATCATCTCATTAAAAAATAAAGAAGAAAAAAATGGCTGGCTGACTTCCTACTGTTAAATCTTTAATCAGTTAGAAAGGAGATGCAGGTTTCAATTGATTAAAATGCAAATCCCAGAATTTCTTTCAAGTCACTTTATTGTTGTTTTATGATTTTCATAAATTTGATGTCATTAATGCCACTGAGTTCTTAATGTTGCATAGTATCTGCACTATGGTTCCTGGCATTGTGAATGAAATTATAAAATAAAATAAAATGACTGTTAAAAGTCATCAAGATCATAAAATCACTCAGCACAGGAGGAGGCTTTTTGCCAAATAGTGCCTGTGCCAGTTCTTTCAAAAGAGCTGTTAGAGTCTTAGAGCCATAGAGTCATAGACTAATATCGCATGGAAACAGACCCTCCAGCCCAAACTGGTCCATGCTGACCATGGTGCCCACTCAGCTAGCTCCAATTGCCCGCATTTGGTCCATATCCCTCTAAACCCTTCCCATCCATGTACCTATCCAAATGTTTCTTAAATGTTGCTATTGTACCTGCCTCAACCACTATCTCTGGCAGCCCATTCCATTTACGCACCACTGTCTGCAGGAAGAAGTTGCCCCTCAGGTCCTTCTTAAATCTATCCCCTCTCACCTTAAACCTATGCCCTCTAGTTTTCAATTCCCCATCCATGGGAAAAACACTATATGCATTCATCCCATCTCTGCCCTTCATGATTTTATACACCTCAATAAAGTCACCCCTCATTCTTCTACATTCCAAGGAATAAAGTCCTGTCCTGGCCAACCTCTCCCTATAACTCAGGCCTACTAGTCCTGGCAACATCCTCGTAAATCTTCTTTGCGCGCTTTCCAATTTAATTATGTCTTTCCTATAACAAGGTGACCAAAACTGCACACAATACTCCAAGTGCGGCCTCACCAATGACTTATACAACTGTAACATAACATCCCAACTCCTATACTCAATGCGTTGACCAATGAAGGCCAGCATGCTAAATATCACCTTCATCACCCTGTCTACCTGTGACGCCGCTTTCAACAGTTAGAGAAGATATTGCAGGCAATAGTGAGAGAGATATAGTGAGTGTGAGGGAGCAGAGAGAAGGTGGAGGACATTGACCTTTTTTCCTTAAGTGCTGGGCATTCCTCCAGATGTAAGAGACTGCTTCAACATGGCTGGAAACTTCAGGCCACGTTGGTGTGGTCCAATGCCATAGTTTCCTCTGCTGGTCCTGAAGGAAAATGTTATCCCTACCTCTACGCCATTCCTGTCCAGCAAGACAAAGTGGGGCACTGACTTTCTTTTGTCTACCATGGCTGAGACAGATGTCATGAATCATGCAGGGCAACTCTAGACTGACAGAGCATATCTAAGTGGACAACAGCCTTTTAAATATGGCACCAATTCCAAGGATGCCTGTCAATTCCAGGACCTCGGGTGAGCAGCGGGTTGCTCTAGGAACAACACATGGTAAGGTGGGGCTGAAATACAACATTGTTCTCACCATGAGGCCTCAAACTTCAGGTTTGGTAAGATGCAGCAAGAAAACTCGTTCAGCCTTTTGGTAAGGGTCTCTTCACCGAATTTAGCACTACTCGCACTGAACCAAAATATGGTATACTTCTACCCAGAAAGATAGTGAAGCTTAAACAGAAAATTGTCACAAGAAATGGAAACAGAAGGAATGCCACCAGTGATGGAATCATTGAAAATGGAGATATGTGAGAGACCAGGATTGGAGGAGTGCAAAAGTCTGGGTGGATTGTACAGCTGGATGCTATAATTCAGATAGAGAGGTGCAAGGGTGGGTGGTGCAGTGGCTAGCAGTGCTGCCTTACAGTGCCAGGTTACCTGGGTTTGGTTCCAGCCTCGGGTGACTGTTTGTACAGAGTTTGCACATTCTCCCCATCTCTGCGTGGGTTTGCTCTGGTTTCCTCCCACAGTCCAAAGATGTGCAGGCTAAGTGGATTAGCCATGGGAAATGCAGGGTTACAGGGATAGAGTTGGGAGGGGGTGCGTCTGGATGGGATGCTCTTTGGAGGGTTAAATGGTCTGCTCCTACACTGTAGGGATTCTGTGAAGGTTATGGAATGAGTTGAATTAAGGATAAATTGGAATTGCTGTAAGGTAGGATGGGCAACAAAATTTTTGATGATTTCAAGTTAATGGATGGTATCATGCTCTGTGCAGTAAAGAGTTTGTACTCAGGCAGCTCATGTTACTCTGGCCATGAGGAAGTAAAGCCCCATTTAGACAACTGCCACAAGGTCTATTGGGGGCCCAATATTTCTGATTTTAAGTAAGATTGACTTCAAATTAAAATAATTACATACTCATCCTACTTGCTTTGTGTTCGGGTCATTCCGCTACTGCTCAATGGCAGATGTGAAAAGGCTGACAGCTCCCCTGAGATGTGTGTTTACGATAGCCACTTGTATTAGCTTGCAGAAAAAGGCCGCATAAAGGACCTGCACCCAGACCATTTGTGGCAAAACAATCAGCCAAAGCATACAGGGAGTGCAAACTAGAATGCGTAAATTTAGTGACAAGCCACGACCAGTCATTTTCAAGTTTAATTATCAAAGCGTGACAAACTCCTCATGGCATAATTAGAATTAGCTTCATCACATATTGAATGCATTAAATATTCAATTTTTAATAACTTTAAAAGCCTAAGCTCACATCACGAGCTAAGCATTGCTTATAATCTACTAGAAGTGTTTATGGTATCTGTTTGAATCAAAACAAAATGATGGTGTCTCTTTTCTCACCCAGTTTCCTGGATTGTATGATTCCCGATGGCTTCCTTTGGAATAGTGGTTAGATTTGTCAACCTTACGGACCCTTTCCTCGGATGGCCAAATTCATCTGATCATAACCATCCACACAATTACTACGCTCTGCTTTTCTCACCGCTGATCTTTGCCATCATTTTTGGGAATGTACTGGTGTGTCTGGCAGTGCTGAGAGAAAAATCTTTGCAAACGACAACCAACTATCTCGTTGTCAGCTTGGCAGTAGCAGACCTGCTCGTAGCAATCTTGGTGATGCCTTGGGTTGTGTACCTTGAGGTAAGGACATTTTTTGAAGTTTTCATTCGCCTATCTCTTACTGTACAGCATTTGTGATTTTCCAATCTGATGTTAATATTTTGACTTATAGTCTGGGAGCATTTCATTTTAATGACACTGAAGTATACTTAATTCAGATGTACAATCAGTCTGGTGTGCCTCACCTCTTTATTCAGTGCAGCTTAACTTCTCACTATGAAGCACTCTGAAAAGCTGTTCTGAAATTTTCATTTGGCCCACTTTTAATCCATGTATACCAAGACTTTGAGCAACTTACAAGCTCAAAATTATTTACTTGCCATTTGCAATGAAATGTTATACAATAAATAACCCCTTTTGTTTTTAATCAGATATAATATTCCTTCCTGAAGTGTTGGTCCTTTAAAACATTCCAATATCTCAAATTTCATATTTAAAATCGTCAAACCCATGAATCAGAATGATATCAGAACAGATTCAAGATTTTACTTCAGTTGAAGCTCCGGAAGTCACCATGATTTTTCTGTTTACTCTCATACCTCTGTATATCTTCCAATATAGCAATCCAACTAACAGAATTGTGTAGAATGGGACTGCCACATGTTGATGGTAGTGAGCATGATGGTGAATTGGTAACACTGCCTCTAAGCTATCTTGGATTCAGGATGCTATGGATTCAATTTTTACTTCAGGGACTTTCACACATATGTTCTATTGACACTTCAGGGTAGTATGGAGAAAGCAAGGTGGTGTTGTATGTAAGAACAAAAACAGAAGTTGCTGGAAAAGCTCAGCAGATCTGGCAGCATCTCTGAAGAAAAAATCGGAGTTAACATTCGGGTCTAGTGACCCTTCTTCAGAACTGAATAAAGACAGCATTTGCAGTCTTTTTGGATTTTATGTGGTGTTGAATGTGCCATTTTTAAATAAGATATTAAACTGAGATGTCATCTTCCTTCTCAAATGGATGTTAATGATTGCATGGCACTATTTGAATCACCTTGGTTGAGTACTCCCAAGTGTCTTTGTTAATAGTCAACTCTCTCCAAAACAATTAAACAGAATCTCGTTATTATCATATTGCTATTTGTGTGACCTTTGCTGAGCTGATACATTTTCTGCATAAAATTGTGGCTTCACTTCAACAGTACCATTGCTGTAAACATTTTCTGCTGCTCTGAGGTCAGGCAATGTGCGATATCAATGTATGATTTTCTTTCCTTATCAAGGTAGGGAGATTTTTGGTTAAATTGTTCCACATTCACGCACTAAACCAACAGTGTAATCAGTGTCCAAACAATCGTTGTTGTATTATCAGCTTGATGTGGACCAATTAAAGATTAAACCCAATATCATCGATGATTTCAATTTGTGATCATTACAATAAAGACATTGCATTTGGATTATGGAAGAACACATTCTGCTAAAGAAAGGATAAGGTTTTTTTATATTTTCTGAAAATGGAAAAAGCTACTCTTCCAGCATAGCAGAAACATTCTAAAAGTGAACACAAACTTGGACTGGGAATTCAAAATAACCATGTTCCTCTTGCTCTGAGAGCTATGTGGGATCCTTTTACTAGTAGACGACTTAACCTAAAATAACGTATTGTTTACCCTGTACATAGCCCTGCATTCCGCATCACTGTCACAACAATTGCATGCACAAGGACAACTACAAAAGACCTTGTAGTTTGTGAGTTTGAGGAAACAGTGCCAGATCAGCCAGAGCAAACAAGTGAGGAAGAGCAAGTCGATGTGCAGAAGAGGAATGAGAATTTTTGGACTGGATAACCATGTGTCTGCCATTATTGGTCCCCTGTAATTTCTTAAATGCAGCAATGAAATGAAATTGATCATTGTGGGAAAATTCATATATGAATATTTTAGTAGAATAAGAGATGAAACAGTTGCCTATGTTAACCCCAATAGTTCAATTATTTGTTTGCTTCATGTCTGAATGGAATGTTAGGAATATAGGAACAAAAGAACAAAAGAAAGCCAGTTAGACCCTTGAGCATGTTCTGCCATTCAATAACCAATGATCGATTTGTGACAAAAACTCGAATTACTGGCCTGAGAGTATCAGAAATGAGGTGTGACCTTATTGAGGTTTATAAAATCATGTGGGGCATGGATAGGTTGAATAGCCAAGGTCTTTATGCCACAGTGGGGGAGTCCAAAACTAGAGAACATAGGTTTAAGGTGAGAGGGGAAAGATTTAAAAAGGACATGGGGGCTACTTTTTCATGCAGAGGGTGGTGCATGTCTGGAACAAGCTTCCAGAGGAATTGTTGGAGGCGAGTACCATTACAACATTTAAAATGTATCTGGATGGGTACATGAATAGGAAGGCTTTAGAGGGATATGGGCCAGATAAAACTAGGTCAGATTGGGATGACTGGTTGGCACGGATGAGTTGGACTGAAGGGTCTGTTTCCGTGCTGTATGACTTTATAATTCTATAACTGAATTCCTTAGTACTCTTGGAAAACAAAATTATATAATTCCCAGACTTAAAATTGGTCTACTTTCAATTGTTGTTTGCAGAAGAGAATTCCAAGGCTCTAGCATCCTTTGCATGAAGAAATACTTCCTCATTTCACTCTTGAAATATTTGGCTTGAAAATTTTGGATATTCTGTCTAGTCTTAAGCTCAGCAACAATAGAAATTAGTTTCTCTCTGTATTCCATGCTCCTTTCTCTTAACATCCCGAGAACCTCAATCTAATCACCCTAGGGTGGCATGGTAGCTCAGTGGCTACCACACAGTGCTAAGGTCCTGGGTTCGATTCCAATCTTGGGCAACTGTCTGCGTGGGTTTCCTCTGGGTACTCCTGTTTCCTCCCACCGTCCAAAGATGTGCAGGTTAGGTGGATAGGCCATGCTAAATTGTCCCACAGTGTCCAGGGTTATGCAGGCTCGGTGGGTTAACCATGGTAAATGTGGGGTTACAGGGATAGCGTCGGAGGCTGGGTCTTGGTGTGATGCTCTTTGTAGGGTCAGTGTGGACTAGATGAGCTGAATAGTGTCTTTTAGCTCTGCAGGGATTCTATGATTTTATGACATCGGCATTCTAAGGAACATAGTGTTATCCCTCCTTGTAGCATAACCCTTGAGGTCCACGTATCTTAGATAAACCTATGCTACACTCCTTCCTAGGCCAATGAATCCTTCCTCAGGTACACTGTCTAAAGCTGCACAAGCATGCAAGGTGTAGTATAAACAGGTCTTTGTATCGCTGAAGCATTGCTGCTACCCCTTTGCTTTCCAATCCTGACAATAAAATGGCTAACATTTAATTTACATTTTTGATTACAGGACAAAACAAAGAACAATACAGTAAAGGAACAGGCCCTTTGGCCCTCCAAGCCTGTGCCAACATATTTTGCTCTTCCAAACTAAAACTGTCTTCGCTTACAGGATCCATATCCCTCTATTCCCTTCCTATTCATGTATTGGTCCAGCTGCTTCTTGAACGCTGCTATTGTGTCTGCTTTCACCACCTCCTCTAGAAGCGTGTTCCAGGCACTCACCACCCTTTGTGTGAAAAATGTGCCTCTTCCATCTCTTTTAAACTTCCTTCCCCCCGCAACTTGAACCTGTGTCCCCTAGTAATTGACCCCTCCCATCCTAGGAAAAAGCCTCATACTTTCCACTCTACCCATGCCATTCACAATCTTATAAACTTCTTTCCGATCATCCCTCAGCCTCTTGCGTTCCAGTGAAAACAAACCCACTCTATCCAACCTTTCTTCACAGCTAAAATCCCCCATACCAGGCAACAGGCTGCTAAACCTATGCTGTACCCCCTCCAAAGCATCTACATCCTTCTGGTAATGTGGTGACCAGAACTGTGTGCAATATTCCAAGTGTAGCCTAACTAAAGTTCTATAAAGCTGCGGCATAACTTGTCTATCCTTTTACTCAATGCCCCTTCCAATGAAGGCAAGCATGTCATAGGCCTTTTTTATTACCTTATGTACCTGCATTGTCACCTTCAGTGATCTGTGGACCTGCACACACAATCCCTCTGCATATCAATACTCCTAGGGGTTCTGTCTTTCACTGTATAATTTCCACCTGTACTTGACCTTCCAAAATGCATCATCTCACATTTGTCTGGATTAAATTCTATCTGCCATTTTTCTGCCTATGCCTCCAACTGATCGATATCCTGCTATATCCTGTATCTGACAATCCTCCTCATTATCCACAACTCCACAAATCTTTGTATCATCCGATTGTTTTTTGTTTATACATTTTAATGATCTATGTACCTAGACAACCACCCTCCCTTAGCATGTCTTTTAGGGCCTCCATTATTTCTAGATTTACATCATTTAGAAAGTATTTTGTTCTACTCTTTATAGGTACCTTACACTTGCCTACATTAAAATCCATGTGTCACAGTTTTGTCCATGCTAACGTATCAATATCTCTTCATAGTTTCGTGCCCCCATCCACACTGCTTTTAATATTATTCATCCTCATACAATGATAATTTTAATATGTGGCTTTCTGAATTGTAGGCAGTTAATGAATATGGCAGAGAGTTGTGGACTGAGCACAGATTCTTACAGGATCCTAAAGTTTCATCTGCCAATTAATGTATCTATCCTTTGACTTTGCTACTTCCTTTCTTCTCTTCAGCTGATTTGACAACCAAGTCAAAAGTTTGTCTTCACTCCTACTTCAGCTTCAGCTAACAATCTCTTAAGACGGACCTTGTGAAATGTTTCCCAGAAGTCTATATAGTGCCATCCATAGACATTTCCCTGTTCAGTGCTTGAATCATGTACTCAAAGAATTCAGTTAGGTTTGTCAGGTAAAACCTACCCTTTAGAAATACATGTTGCCTTTTTTATGATCAGCTGAAACTTGTCCAAGCATTCAATCATTCCACCAAAATTATAAACTCTGGGTAATTTCCTGACAATAGATATTATATTAACTGGTCTATAATTTCTTGGTTTCTCTCACATTTTTGGATTCTACCACTGCCAGCATATGGTATACTGG